ATTTGATAATGAAGCACCCTACTCCTTGAACGACATAGATGAAGTTCAAGAGTTGTGGGCAGAATATTTTCTAGAAGAGTGCGTGTAAATTTATTTAGTTTAAAGAGTAACTTATGCTTAGTTTATGTTTGAATGTAGTGTTGATTGTTATTATATATTGTGTTGATATTATAAGTGTATTGTGGTATTTTATTGTGTTGATATTATATATAAGTGTATTGTGATATTTTATTGTGTTGATATTATAAGTGTATTGTGGTATTTTATTGTGTTGATTATTACTTGTGAATTATATATATTGTTGTACGTGTTTGGGTTTATAGTTATTAGTGTTAATTATTAGTTGATTTTAATTTAATTATTGTTGAATATTTATAGATAGTTTAATTAATTGTTATTCTTTTTTGATAAATTTTTGTGTGCATTTGGTGAATTTAGAAAATTCTGTACAGGTTGAATCAATAAAATTAGGTAATATTCAATTTTTAAATAAAATATTAAAAAAATATATAAAACCGCGTCACCCTCTCGGAGTAGGGTGACGCGGAAAGTAATAATAAAAAAAAATATAAAAACTTTTCGCGGCACCTATCATGTCAGAGGTGCCGCGGAAAAGCAATATTATAATATTAATAAATGAGTATCCGAGGCACCTGTTCTGCTGCAAGTGCCTCGGATACTCTGTATTAAAAAATTAAAAAAAAACATCCTCCGCTTTTCGAGTCACCCTTTACGGGTGACTCGAAAAGCGGAGGAGAATCACAGTCTCCAAGATTCGAGTCACCTGTACAGGTGACTCGGAAAGTGTTTTATGGGTGACTCTAAAAGCTTTTTTTGTACTAGTGATAGGATGACAAGTAACAATACAAATGAATCTATTCCTGAAGAAGTTAATGTGCAAGTTACAACTACAACTCCATCAATTTCTTCAAGTCAACCAATTGAAAGTAACAATTCTAAAGAAGTTAATAGGGTTGAATCGGTTGCTGATGATTCAATCATAACAAAAAAGTGGAAAAAAACATCTCGGGTATGGAATGATTTTGAAGAAATTGAACTTGCTAATGGTACAAAGAAAGCAGTGTGTCTGTATTGTAAGGAAAAATACTCTATTGGGGGAAAGGGTGCAAGCACTAGCCATCTTAAGAGGCACTCAGAGATTTGCTTGCAGCGGAAGTTGCATATCTCTCGACAAAATAAGCAAACAACAATACAATTTCGCCCGCCTAGTGAATCTGGTGGTAATCCTTTTATTGTTCCTAATGCTAAATACTCCAATGAAAAGATGAGGGAGATTATTGCTAGTGGAATCATGGTGCATGAGCGACCATTTAGCATCGTAGAGGATGACATGTTCATGTGGGCTTTTGAATATGAAATCCAAATTTTAGAAGAGTCGCTCGTAAAACAGCAAGAAGTGATTGTTTGCAATTGTATGAAGCTGAAAGGAATACTTTGAAAAAGATTTTGAATAATGTGAGTAAGGTTAGCATTACAACAGACATGTGGAAGTCAAGTCACCAAGTAGTTGAGTACATGGTTGTGACAGGTCATTTTGTTGATGCTAGTTGGAACCTTCAGAAGAGAGTTTTGAATTTTGTCAAAGTGCCTCCTCCTCGACGAGGAACAGATATAGCAAATGCTATTTTCAAGTGTTTGAGGGGATGGGGCATTGAGAATAAAATATTCTTAGTAACTGTTGACAATGCATCTTACAATGACTCTTGTGTTAGAAGTTTGAAAGAAAACATGTCATTGAGCAGTAAGTTGGTACTTGATGGACAACTATTTCATCTTAGATGTTGTGCTCACATTCTGAATTTGTTAGTGCAAGATGGTCTTTACACTATTAAAGATGTCATTCACAATGTTCGTGAAAGTGTGAAATTTATAAATTCTTCAGATGCAAGGCTAAAGTCATTCCATGAAGTTGTTGAATTAAAAAGATTAAAAGAAAGGAAACTTATTCTTGATTGTCCAACAAGATGGAACTCCACATTCTTGATGTTGTGTACTGCAAGTAAATTTAAACATGCCTTTTCAGATTACAATGAGAAAGAACCACATATAAGTATGCGCCATCATTTGAGGATTGGGACAAGATTGAGAAGGTTTGTCAACTTTTGGAGGTTTTTAATGATGCCACTCATGTCATTTCAGGTAGTGATTATACCCTACTCCTAACTTGTATCTTGCTGAAATTCAAAGGGTGAAAAAGGTTATTGATAATGCAGCTGAGTGTTTTGATATGTTCATGAGTGAGATGGCAAAACCTATGAAAGCAAAATTTGACAAATATTGGGGGGAATGTAATTTGCTAATGTCTATTGCATGTGTTTTAGATCCAAGGATAAAATTAAATGGTATTAAGATAACTTTTCCCTTATTGTATAAAACACCAAGTGATGTTGAAAAGAATGTGGAGAAGGTGAAAAGGGCATTAGAAGAATTATATCTTGATTATGTGAACTTGTATAGTCAAGATGCTTCTTCTACTAGTGGACATAGTGAAGTCAATGTTGAAAGCAGCACTCTGGTTGATGGTGGACAACAAATGGATAAAGGGATGCAAGAAATATTGAGTATGGTATACCAAAGTCAATCAATTCCTCTTACGAAATCAGAGTTGGAGACTTATCTTGAGGAAAATCTTTTTATTCCTTCTTCTTCTTCACCATTTTGTGCCTTGGCGTGGTGGAAAAATAATAGTCCAAAGTTTAAAGTTTTATCAAAGACGGCTTCTGATATACTAGCTGTTCCTATTTCAAGTGTGGCATCGGAGTCTACATTTAGTGCTGGGGGAAGGGTGATTGATGAATATCGTGCTAGCTTAAATGAGCAATCTATTGAAGCTCTTATTTGTGGTGGGGATTGGCTTCGTAACAAGTATGAGCTGAAGAAAAAATCAAAGGTAAGAATCTACTTATTACTTTAATATTTTATATTATTTTATATTACTAATTATTTTAATATATTTATAATTTATGAATTATGAGCACTTGAACTTATAATGGACTTCATTATTTATTCTCAATTTTTTTCATTGTGTAGGAGAATCCTGGACAAGAGGAGATTATGTTGAAGCCATGACTTTTTCATTTTATGTTTGAATATTAAGTATAATGTTTGTATGTTTGTATGTTTGTATTGTGGACTTTGTTGTTAAACTTGTGATATGACTTTTGTATTAAGGACTTTGTTTTTGTATTATGAACTCTTATTTATTAAACTTGTCTTGTTGGAAATTTTATTATGAAATATGAATTTGATTTTGTCATTCATGATTATTGGTTGATGTAATTTAATAATATAATCATTATTTACAGGTAAATATTAAAATGTAGGCTTTAAATAAGCTTTAAGCCTATTTAAATAGGCTCAAAGCCTATTTAGAACCTACTTTGAAGCCGTTTAAAAACCTATTTATTAAATAGGCTTTTAAAAAGGCTTCAGGCCAGGCCAGGCTTACTGTAGGCCTAGGCTTGAGCCTAAAAAAAAGCCTATATACAGGCCCAGGCCCAGGCCTAGGCTTTATATTTTTTAACAGGTCCCGGCCTAATTTTCAAAAGCTTAGCCCGGCCTGGCCTATTCCCACCCCTACTTGAATGGTATTACAGGCTTTATCCGCAGCTTTCTACTGGTTGAACTTACAGGTGAAATCATGTGGTTAAACACATCAGTACAAATTCAAAACTAAATTCAGTGCAAATTTAGGCTATTTCAATTACACTATTTCAATTAAGAAATTTAACTTTAATGGTTGTTAGAATGTTAGTCGAAACTTGTTTTTTTTTCCTGTATATTTAACTTTAATGTTTTCCCTCTCCCTCCTTGATTAAATATATTTGTTCAAGGAAATAGACAATCTAGGCTAACTCCCTGCCCTACTTAATGTTCTGTTACCATTAGCTCTTTAATTGAATGCTGTTTAGTTTGATTTTATTGTAAGGAGTGCATATTGTTTGAAATCTAGACCATGTAGACATCTATGGAGATCAGAAATGGTTGAGTATTCCTTGGAAGAAGCTTCAGGTTGGAGACATTGTGAAGGTAAGTACACTGCATAAATAATTAATCTATATTTGTTGTATTTATTTATGTTTATCGGGTGAATCTTTTACTTAATCTACGTCTACCTATACATCATATTAAAGTGTCTTATCTTTTGTTCCTTATTTTGAAGAATGCAATGCCATTTACTTAATTTTTAGTTTATTTTGTTAATTAGTTATAATTATAATTATAAGATGTAAATTATTTGAATACAACTTTTTAATTATGCTACACCAGGTGGCATCCCAACAGATATCTAGATCTTGGGGGTTAAAGGCATATATAAAGAATTAATACAGGTAAAACTATATACCCTCAGCCCTTTTCACTTCCCTTTCTTTTAATTATATGTAAAGTCTGAAACTTTTGTACTAAAAATTGCATTTTTATTCTTCTTCCTTGCAAATTCCTTGTATAAAATAGATCAAATGTATTTACTGGACTGGTTATTTTCACTTTCATCTTACCAAAGCTATTATAAATTGAAATAAGCTTCACAATCCAGCATTTTGAATGTTTAGAATTAAAGCAAACATTTGGGTGTAAAACTTCCTTTGCCTAAGATTCTACTCTATACTGTAATCTGTCACATTACATGCATCTTTTGGTTCTAGTATTGATATCCTCCCCCTTTGAAAACAGTGAGACAAAATGTCAAATTGCTGCACTTAGTGGTGCTAATCCGCAGTCGTTCCAATCTACTTCTCCTAATTTGCATGGAGCCTGTAGCCATGAAAGCAGTGTATCTGCATATTCATATATGGAAAATATGAACTTCATTTTGTATCTTCTGATTAAGTGGACTGACACATGCATTGACCACACTATGATATAAATGGACTATCTTGAGTATCATATTAGAGAAGAACTAAATAAAACAGCACCTCGAGGTGATGGTTGTACTTAATCCACTTAAGGTGTGTATCTGGGTAAACATAAAATGCATAGCCATGCTTGTGTCCATAACAAATCGTGTATGCTAGATTGATTCTTATTTTACTTGGGTTTAATATCAGGTGGTTATAACAAATCTGGAACCTGGCTTAGTGATGGATCTTGATGCAAAGAAATGGCCTGATGCACAAACAGATGATACTTCGTCTTTCTACAAGGTAACCAATTGACCAAACAAAGCAATTTATGCATCAGACTGAAATGACGGTGAGTATTCTTCCATATAGGGGCTGGAAGCAGCAAGCCAGGAATGGCCATTCCCGCTCTCTTGAGGAAAAGACAGAGAAGACTTGGAGGAAGTCGAAGGTGAACGATGTTCGGCCTTCCATGTTGGTGAAGCAAGCCTTTCTTTGATTCTAATTATTATCCATATTTTATATATACTACTGATATTATGATGAATTGCCATGTAGTTTAGTTCTTAATGTAGTTTCTTGCTCTAGTAATTTGAGTTATTTATCTGAAAGCACTTGATTATTAGCTAATTTACCTGTAAGTAATCTTATTATGCTGAATTGTAGTACGCTCAGCATGCTTCATAGTTTTTGTAGGAAATCTTAGTTGTCTATTTCTTGCTCCATTGCAAGGTGTTTAAGTGAAGAATTTCTTTCATATAAAGGAGTTTTGAAATTGATCTTGTATATGGACATTTTAGTGGATGAACTGAAGATATGAATCACCGGCAAGAAAAGTTTGTAAGGTCAGTTTTGGTATCATTATTATTATAGAACATTTTCTCTTGTTGATATCGTTTTAGGGCACTTGTGTGATTCCACACAATGAAACTGATGATTTGAAGTCAGCTGGAGCTGTGAGGTCTGTGTTTGGACTGTTCGTTGAGCTCGTTAAATCATGGAACCTTCCTGACTGGCTCGTGCATTAGGACCATCCCGGCAACATGGTACACTTGTCTGTTTGAAGGAAATTCCATTCCATTGATCCAATTAAGATTGCATCTACTGTCATTTATTTATTTAGTATTCCCTAAATGCTGTTATTGTTGCTGTTCCACTTTATAGGCTGTTGTGCTCTTTGCCATGGGTAGTTATGGAACTTTCCTGGGATTCATAATCCGGTTTTCTAATGATGTGGTAACAACTAGGCAATCTATCTTTTGTATTCAAAATTGGATGGGTTCTTGAATGTCCATCTGTTTATACTTATTTTCATCGAATCCATCAAACATACATGTCATCATAAGTGTCTGTCTGCAATTCTTGCAGCCCTCATGCAATAACTTATAGCGGTAAGAAGCTGACATCAAATATACATGACATTGATGAAGAAGCTGTAAGAACTGCATCCGTGTATCATTAGTTTTTGTCTTTTCTTTCTAGATTGACTTGTGTTAAATTTTTAACTGTATATTCATGAATGGATTCTTTTCAAGTGTATGAAATGTCTATATGTTTTGTAGCAAATATCTTACCGTGCAACAATATATATATATATATATATATATATATATATATATATATATATATATATATATATATATATATATATATATATATTATTTTCACTACAGAGGGGTCCTCTGTGGTGAAATGAATTTTTTTGTTGACTACGTCCAGTTTTCCGACCACCAAAGTGGTCGATATTTCCGACCACCTGTGGTCGCAAAATCTGGACCCGCCAACTATTCTCCACGTCATTTTTCAACGGCCTTAGAAAAGTGGTGGCTATTTCCGACCACCACGTGGTCGGATATAGCGAGGGTGATTTTTCCGAATACCAAAATTGGTCGGAAAAGAGGTTGGAACAGGCGTTTCCGATCTAATTAAGGCCATTTTCGACTACTTTCAGGTAGTCGGAAATCGACAAATTTTTAGAAGTGATTATTGGCTCTTATTATAATTGTAGATTATTATTATTATTATTATTATTATTATTATTATTATTATTATTATTATTATTATTATTATTATATTTAAAAAATTCAAACGGTATTCGGTTTTTTACCAAATAATTCGGTTTGGTTTAGTTTTTTACCAAACCATTCAGTATACAATAATCCATCACCGTTTGGTTGTTCGCGTCGGTTCGGTATGGTTTGATTCGGTTCGGTATTCGGTTCAATTCGGTCCTTTGACTATAGAAAAATACCAATTTGGTCTCAAATTAACGGAAGTCTAACAGCAAAATTAACAGAAGACCAAATTGGTTAATATTTTTAAAGTTGAGGGACTTAATTGATCAAAAAAAATAGTCAAGGATCAAATTGATAATTTTAATATAGTCAAGGACCATTTTAGTAATTGATACTAGTGAAACCTTTTGTGTTAATGAGAAGAGTGGAGTAGAGTTAACCCAAATCATTATAAAAATATAATCTTGACTCAATCTCTATCTACCCTACTCTCTTTACATTTATGTTGAGCTTAACATACTCACGTTCCCTTCAAAAAAAAAAAAAAAAAAACATACTCACGTTTTATCTCAAGCAGCGTCAAGGGTTTACGTGGTTCGTTGGGCAAAATAACAATCAAGCAAAAACTAAATCGAATTGAGGGGTGAAGACGTTGTAGATAGAGGCCATTTCTCATCCTACTTTGCCTTTTTCTAAAGAGAGTGGGAATGTGAGGGTCAGAAGTTTCTATGTTTTCCTTATACAAATTTATAATTGTAAATTTATACTAATAAATGATTATTGTAAATTTATATTAATACAATGTAATAGAGTCAGTAGCATTAAAAAAAACGATTTTTAAGACAAGTATAATTTATTTTATATTGTGGATACATTACTTTTAATAATTTTGATTTAATAATAGTATACCTTAATTATAAAAATTCTACCTAATAATTTTAGTATTAAATGTCATACAATAATTACCATAAATAATGTTTAATAATTGCCAAATTCTATTAGGCAATAAAAATTACTATTATAAAATATTTTGTAATATGGACACATTATTTTTAATTATTTAGATTTAATAATATTATATCTTATGTATAAAAATTCAAAATAATACTTTTAGTACTATTGAATATTGATTGACTAACAATTATCTTAATTATTAAGGCAATTAATAGGTATTTAGATTTAAAAAGCTTTCAAATATATGAATTATACATAGTAGCATGGAATCAGTAAGATAATTATATTAGGTAATCTAATAAATAATTTACTTTTTAAATTATATCTCCTCTTTAATAATGAATATTTTCTTAAAGTATGTACATAGACTATGGTTATCAATATAAAATTAAAAGTATATATATATATATATATATATATATATATATATATATATATATATATATATATATATATATATATATATATATATATATATATATAATGTATAATATTATTTTGCCTTAATAATTAATTATTAATACAATTTCCTAATAATTATATATTGTTACCTTTTAGGTGTAATTATTATGATAATTTATATACATATATATTTTTATACTTAATGTATAATATTATTGGCATGAAATAAATTATACTTACCTTAATATATAATTTGCTTATTTTTATTAAAGCTAATTATTCTGATAATTTTTCTTTCATTCTTTTGTGTGATTATTATGGTAATGTATTTAAATTTTGGAAGATATTAGTACAAATATTATAATTAATATAATTAATGAAATTATTATGGTAATTGCCACAATATTTGGTAACTATAATTAATATAATTAATGAAATTGAGAAATATAAGATTTCTTTCATAGAAATATTTGTGACAATTTCATTAAATTACAATTAATAAAATATGAAATATAATTAAAGAAATGAAATTATTAAATTAACAAAACATGAATATTTCTAATCATACATACACTTATGCACTATAATAATCATGCAAAATTTAAATGCTATACAATCATATAAGGAAATGCGTCGGACTAAAGTTTAAATTTATTCACACAAAATTTAGAATTTACATTTTTTTATAAAACTAATCAAATGTTAATGTTAATAATAATAATAATAAGAATTTTAAAATCAGAATTATAAATTAAGTATTAGGGTAATAATTAATTTATATATATTATATATTATATTATTATTTTTATTATTATTATTATTATTATTATTATTATTATTATTATTATTATTATTATTATTATTATTATTATTATATAAAAAAATAATCTCTTTTCAAAAAAAAAAAAAAAACAACAACAAAATCATCCTATTTCATTTTTTCCGCCCAGACTTTTGTAGTAAAACTTATTTGGTAAGTAAATGTCAAATGGAAATTAAATAAAATCTATTAATTGATAATATTATGTATGGTATTATATTGTATAATATAATTGATAATATTATTGTTCAAGTATAATAAAAATCCTATGTAATAATGTAATAATAATAAAATAAAATTAAAATTAAAATAATAACAATAACAATATAACAATAATAATAACAACAACAACAACAAATGTAATAATCCAAACAAAACTATATAAAAAATAAAATTAAAAAAAAATATAGGAAAAAGACAAAGGTGGCTCCCCTTTGTAAATGATGTGGCATCATTTTGATTCCACAATGAAAATGTTTGGTTAAACTCCTCTATATAAGAGGAGCATTTACAAACATATAATTGCATTTTATTTTTTTTTATTTTAGTACTATTGACCTGACAAATTATGCTGTGGATCTGTGTCCACCTTGCAAGATGGAGACGGTTCAAAAATTGTTCATAATTATTAATATATAGTTCAAAAATTATGAACACATAGTTCTATAATTATGAACATAGTGTTGTGAACGTAATTATGAACATATAGTTATGTAATTATGAATATAGAGAGTCAATAATTGTGAATATGAAGTTAAAAAATTATGCATATATATCTTTATAATTATGAACATATAGTTCAGTAACTATGAACATAGAGTTCGAGAAAATTACATTTTTGGTCCTATAACTATTGAAGTCTTGTTAATTTCAGTACTCGACTTTAAAAAGTAACAATTTAGTCATGTGGCTATGCAATTTTTAACACATTTGGTCCTTCCGGCCAAATATTGTCAGAAAAAGCATAAACCTTTTTAAATTATTTATTCGTATGGACAAAATGGTCAATTGACATTTAATAAAAAAGGGGAAAGTTATTTGTGAGATGCCGCCGCCGTGGTCACGAACGAAGTTGAAACGGAGAAGATCAGATGTTGCTTGTGATGGTAACCTCACTCCATTAACAACTTTTGCCAATCCATCATCAAGTTCAGATTCAAATTCATGCTTATCATCAACATTTAAGCAAGAAAAAGTGGTGTGCCTATATGAGGCGGAATCCGAGCTGGGTGTCTGAATCACATTATCACTGCTCACAGAGCTCCCAAGAAAGTGGAGACTTCATGAAATTTCTTTCTTCATGCAGTTCAGTAGCCTTACAACTAGGCATTCTTTGACAAGGCAACACAATCCCAACACTACCATCACAATCAACTTTACACCAAAATGAAGAGCAGTGACAACGCCTGCGGAAGGAAAA